AAGAGCCCTCTTCACGCTGACTTGAAGAACACCTGACAGTTGCTCATTTCTGTGATGCGCTCTTAGTGAGCTACTGAGATACATCATTACTGACTCGCTGGTACCCAGCTCAGAGGGAGTAAACAGATCACGTGTTCACTAGTTTTAGGTATAGAACAATAAAAATAAGAGTTAAAGAATTAAAGCTATGCTTGGCAAATAAAAATGATTTGTTTGCTAAAGTTAAAATAGCAAAAGTGAATAATTTCTCCATCTACTTAGTCAAAAGAAACTTTGGTTTTCATCCTCTGAGGGTTGTTGACGCATGTGAAAGGAATGGGTCAGCAAAGGAGAAAGTTGTCTCTGAGAACTAGAGTCTTTCACATGGTCACTCTAGGGGCATGGGCCATGGTCTTGGAGGATCAATTATTTTGGCTTAAAGAAATAGACTCCTCTCCAGTAAAGGAGTGCTAAACTTGTGAGCCTGCTAGGGGAATGAATCTGGAAGAGTTTGACCTGAGGACATTGTCACTCTAGAAAAAAGGGTGCTGGTGAATATAATAACTACCTCCAGAGTGAGGTGGTGGAAAAATGAAATTATCTTGGGATTAGAATCTCCACACCCATATGCACCTGAAAAGAATGAGGATTCTTGCTAGGGGCACTAGCACAATCTCAGAAAGTTTATAGATCTTGAAAAGAAAATGATAAGGATGGGTCTGTTAGTCCTGACCTGTGGCCACAGTGAAGCCTGAGCACATGGACTTGCATGAGTGTTCTAGGAAAAAGAAAAACATTAGAGAAGCTCATTAACTAATAACCACCAGCCTCTGCTATGAATAAAACAGTGAAAAAATTCAATTCCTGCTTCTACAGGGTTTTTTTTTTTTTCTACAGGGTTTATTGCCACAGACGGTCCTGTAATTCTCAACCAACTACAGAAACCCACAGGGTTGATGGAGCCTGATTTCCTATGTGAAGCATGGAGTGTAAACTACAGCCTAGCACCAGGGCCAAAACTTTCACTTCTAACAGAAAAGAATATTTGTTCATAAAACTGTGTGTAGTGTTTATATTTCCATAAGCATTTCACTTTTAAAGACAAATATATGTTTCATTTAATTAATATTCATTTGTATCATATCTGAAGTTTACTGTGCAATATACACTATATTGCAAAAATTAAGGGCTAAGATTATTGACATGCTCAAATAGACCAAATATAGAATATGGAAGTGGAAACAAAAAGTGGAAGTAGAAGTATAGAAAATGTTCTGGAAATGAAAATTATATGTTCCCCATTAAAAGCCATGCATGGAAACAAAGTCTTCAGAAAACCTAGGATCCCAGGTTCACCCAGACCCCAGGCTCAGGCAGGCCAGCTGCAGCCTCACTTCCCGTTGGCTGTCCTGCTCCCCCTACTGACGGCCCTGGTGATGTGCCGCTAGGGCCCTGTTGCATCTCTGGACTGTGACCTGCCTCAGAACCATGGTCTGCTTAGCAGGAAGACCTTGGTGGTTCTGGGCCAAATAAGAAAAATCTCCCCTTTCCTGTGTCAGCAGGACAAAAGTAGCTATACCAGTAACTTTGTTATTGCTAAGTAGTATTCCACTGAATTAGTAATCTTTAACATACATATATCAGTATTTCATAGTGATGAATTCTTAAGTTGCTTGTGTTTGTGGCTATAATGATTGTAGCTACCATGAATTTTCTGGTAAAAGATATTTCTCTAAAAAAAATTAATTGGAGAAAACATAGAACTAGGTAAATACATTCTACCACATATATATGCAATAAGCAAAATTGATCAGAAATCTAAATGTCAACCCTGAAATCATACAAGTACTATCCAAAAGAATTCTGGTAAAAACTGGCACACAGAAAACTTTTCTAACTCAAAATACAGAAAGAGATACAGAAGAAAATTATTAAATCTGGAAAAAGGTTTTTTAATAGACATTCCCATAAGTCAGTGGTTCTCAACCTTCCTAATGCCATGGCCCTTTAATACAGTTCCTGTGGGTCACGACCCACAGCTTGAGAACCACTGCCATAAATAAATGCCAAGGAATGTGAGACCTAAGGTATGTGCATGTTTAAATTATAAGAATCAATTCTTCAAAGAGGCCATAATGTTTTATATTCCCAGAATGTGTGAGAGTTACAGTTTCCCCACCAATACTTTATACTGTCTCTCTAACGCAGGCATCCTGGTGTCTGTGATGTAATATGTCATTGTAGTTCTCACTGGCGTTCCCTAGTGACCAATGATGTTAAGTATATGGATATCTGTCCTTAACAATCCATGGGCTGTTTCTTGTATTGATTTATAAGGATTTTTGATATATTCTGGGGGAAAATGTTTTAACAGATATATGCATTGTAAACATTTTATTTCAAATTGCAAGCTGGCTTTCATTTTTAAATGTTGTAGTTTCTTGATTAGAAATTCAAACTTATTTAATAAATACTTTTTTACGAATAGATTTAGATTTATAGGAGAATGATGAAGTTAGTACAGAGAGTTTTCATATAACCCACACCCAGTTCCCCCTGTTATTAAAGTATTGTATTAGATAAGGGACATTATTCTTAATTAATAAACCAGGATTGATACACTATTCTTGGTTTTAACCTCATTTCTATTCCATGATCCCATCCACAGCACCACATTACCTTTCATATCATGGCTCCTTGTCAATTTTGAGCTGTGACTTTTTTGTAGAAGTTCGTTGTTTTTGATGACTTTGATAGTTCTGAGGAATGGTAATCAAGTATCTTACAGATTGTCTCTTTATTGGTATTTGTCTAATGTTTTTTCTGATGACTTACTGTGTTTAGGATTTTTGAGAAGACCATTTTTAAATTGTGACTTTCATTTCTAGGGACATACGACCAACACAACTTACCACTGCACGTGTTCAACCCAGTCTCCTGGCTGTGGTACTAGTCACCTGGCTGTGGTCCTGGTGGTCAGGATTTCCTCTGTCAAAGTTACTCTATTTTCCCCCTTTTCCATCTTACTCTCTTTGGAAGAAAGGGACTAAATGCAGTCCACGTTTAGGGAGAGAAGAATTATGCTACACACCCTAGAGGGTGGAATATCTATAGAAAGTATTTATGATTCCTCTTCATGTAAAATTTGTCTTCTCTCTTGTGTCTGTTTATTCAATAAATTATTTATGTCACCATGAATTACTGGATGTTTTTACTTTTGAATATAATCCAATCCTACTTTAAATTGTTGGTCATACTTTCACAGGGTCAGTCACTCTTAAACACTTTCAGTTGACGCCTCTGTCTCTTTGACATATCCCATCCTGATATGTATTTGTGTGCGTGTTTAGCACTTCCTTTCAGGCATTCTATGATGCTCCAGGCTCATATTTTATAGCCCCTGCCATAGTCCTTGAATTCACCATTTCTTTAAGAAGCCCTAGCTCTCCTACTGGAAATGATATCAGTGACCCCTATCTGGGTGCTAGATGTGCTTGTTCCTCCTGGGGCGTCCGTGCTTTTAGGCCTTCTTAAATGACAGAGCAATAGAATAAATGTGCTAAAATCAACCTTTAATAAACAAACATATTTCCAAATATTTGTATATACAGTGATGTACATTCATACTAAAGTAAACATGAGATTATTCTGATAGATATCTATAACTCTAATCCATTACCACATGGAACATTCCACCCTCATCCCCTATCTGTAACTTCTCACTCCAAAACTGGCTCTCACCACTGGACATCAACTTACTTAATATTAAACCCCCAGTATACTACCTAGCAGTATCGGAACTGTTAACGCATATCTTGGTGAGAAACAATGTTATCTACTGGAATACAGGCCTTGTGAATAGATGCCTTCATCTTTCATCTTATAGGTTCTATTCATTTTCCAAGTGACTTTTGTCAGCAACTTTTCCTTGAAAAATAATAACCTCTCCTCCAAGGTTGTTATTTTCTGAGAAGGACTGGTTCCAGGGAGTGATCTCTATCATGGATGAAAACCTGATTTCTCAATGAACAGAGTTAGAAAAGTCAACCCACCCAGGGTGAGCCAGGGAACTCAACAGCAGAACCGTACCCATTAGCTTTCTTCCTGCCTCTGGGTTGGTAGAACAATTTCACTCCCCTCTGTTCAGAAAGCACTATACATTCATTATTAGGGAATACTGTGGTTTTCTACATTGATTTTGAGAATTGTACTCTTTCCATGTTACTCAGTTTTAAATAAAAGTATCTTCTCATAATTCTTCTCTAAAAAATGAACTAAGGAATAGATTTCTGCACTTAGGCCTTTTAGCTTATTTCACACAGCATTTTAGATCTGCAGAACCCTGTCTTCTCCATTTGACATGATTCTACTCCCTGAAGACATGTCCAGCAATGTCTGATTGGAGCCGTTCAGAGGCTCAGCATTGCTCTCCATGTTGGTCTGACACACAGAGAGGCTTGGTCCTGAGACACCTGAGAAGGAAAATGGCTGATAAACAGGGCTGAGGGCCTGTTTTCCTTGGATGTCTGAATGACCCAATCCAGGAACACTGAATCCCCTACTGACACTTCACTCTAGATCCTTCTACCATACCAAGGAGGTAGACTGTGAGCAAGAGCTTGAAGTCCTAGTGTCCACTCTGCCCTGGTCCTGACCACTCTTTTCTGTACTGGTGAGGTTCTAATCTCTCCTGAGAGTTCCTATTCCAAATGTCTTTGTATTCTCATAATTAATTTAGAAAAGTAGGAGATAGAAAGAAAAGAAATGAGAATCAGTCTTTTTGTGGGTTGAATGTATCTGTTTTTTTTCAGACATTAGTAAATATGCATTCTTTTGACTACACTTATGTGACATTTGAAAGATCCTAGATGTACACAAAAATGAAAAGTGGAACCAAAATCCAGGGCCCAATAAAGTGCTAAAGGTCTCAATGTTCTCAAGCATGCTGCTTCCTCAGTAACTGAACACAGAGAATACGTGGTCCATTGGAGACCCAGGTCAGCATCATAGAGCTGTGAAATAGTCCTCCTGAGAGACAGGGAGGAGAAAGAGAAGTGGACAGTGAGCCCACAGCTCCTCACATGATCCATCCTAGCAGGTCCCACCATGGCTCTGGGCTGTAGATCCTGCTGCATTTCTCTGGGATTTCCTGTTTTCTTTCTTCAACCTTACAGCATATCACTGATATTTATATAACCTAGTGTGATGAATGATCACGCTGACCACTCGTTCCGACTCCCTCCAAGGCATTTCAGATACTGTGTATCCGTATTGGAAGACACACCTATCCTGACTTGGGATATGTGGCCTGAAATTCATTATTCTTGCTTTCTCAGCTGGTGTTCACATTTCTTTAGCAACCAAAAGGCATGTGCTTCTGAGGTTTATGCCTAATTGTCAGGTAATGACGTGAGTTGCTTTATAGTAATGTGACCGTCCATGCCAATAATTTCTTTCCCTCTATCTTCTAGCAGGCAGATTTGGTGCAAGGACAGGATCTTTCTGAACCTGGTGATATCTACCAAAATCAATTGCTGATAATTAATCAAGTGATTTTCCTGACTTCAAAAGTGCTCTCAGCTTCTTGGGAGTGCGTGTGTAATAACGTGTGTTAAATTTTCTTAATTGGAATGTAGGATAACTTGCAAGCTCCAAACAGCTGTGGAACAGACTCCAGGAGGTCATCATGAGAGTGAAAGACTTTGTCAAATGTATGGGCTTTCACACGGGCTGAGTAGGAATTTCCAGGCACATGGACATAAGGACGTTCCTGCTTCACTTGAGCAAAGGAACTACACAACTGAGGCATGTTCTCTGTTCTTTTCTCCAATTTTGTTGATATATAATTGACTTCAAGTTTTTGTGTGGGCATTTTTTGTTTATGAGCTGCTGACAAGCACATGTGTGGGAGTATTTCTGGGTTAAGACCCATGAGTGAAATGTCTTTGTGTCATATTAGGAGTGTGTTTAAAAAAAAAAAAAACTGCCAAACAATGTCCTCGAGTGGCTGCCCTGCATTTATCCCCATCAGAAGTGTAACAAGTATGGTCACTCCACATCCTTGACAGCACTCAGAATGGGCAGTCTTTTAAGTTTCACTTGATCAGGTAGTTTGTGTGTGATGCTACCACAATGTGATTTAGGAAAGAGCTGAGGATTCAGAGTTGGATTTTGGGTTCCAGCCATGGCTTCACAATTACTCAGTGGCCTGTGCTCCCCTTTTTTCTTTTGTAAATGAGGATGTTAGTCACCTATCATTATCTGAATTGATCACTACTATATCCAGTGAATAAATGGGGATATGAACAGAATAGCTGTTCAGCAAATCTGAACGGTGGTAATGTTCCTTGGGGTAAAATGAGCAGCATTGATTTTGCAAGTGCTAAGAACAATATCTTACTGAAAATAAACACCTCTAATGATTTAACTATTTCATTCCTTTCATTAACATTATCTTTATCAGTTAATTCTGTTAATTTAGAGGAAGTAACTTTTGAAATCACCAGTTCCTTGCCTCTTGTTAGAGACATGACAAGAAAAGTATTGATCTTCTGAGTTTATGTATCCATTAGAAACTAACATGGTACAATAAACACCTATTATCTGAAGAGAATATTGTACTCTCAAAATTCACCTTTCTTTTGGATACTACCTTTTGGTTGGTGTCTCCAGTGACTCTTTGTGAAAGTTGGATCCAGCAAAGCTGAAGATGGCCCCTGGACCTGGAATGACAACTCTTCTCTGAGCCCACTGGCAGGCTGTAGCCCTCCCCCACCACTCTGCTTCTGCTCTTTCCTCTCCCTCAATCCATCTTGTCTGGGATGAATGTAGCTAAGTTACCTAAGTTCCATTTTTTCATTATTTTTTTCTTAATTGGATATTGCTTCCTTTTTTACATTTTGATCACATTTACACAAACATTAGCTTTATTTTTGTCCTCATTCACTACAATGAAAAAAGTGATATCTTGTGCTTCCCATGAAAGCGGATGTGAGAGAGACAGATATCTGGCATCTTGAATACTTTGTAAGAAAATTGTACAGCCCATTCACTAATAATGCATTTAGGACATTTAGGACAAAGATAGACTGTTAGTTTGAAAAGAATCAGCTAGAACTGAGACCCTCTGAAAAATATTTTATTAATTTGAATTTTAATGTGAAAATTTTTTTTTGAAATCAAAGTGATGATGGTGTATCAGGTATATGGATTCTCCTCGGATGTAACATTGCTCCCAAGGGTGTAGAAGTTAGTTCCTGGAGATGGAAACAAATTTTAAATGTCACAAAGTTTGGGATCCTGCAAGCTCAATGCTACCAGTGACAACATTATTCTGTAATTATTGATTTTCACTGAATTTTCTTATATATCACATAAGGAGCACTGACATTGGGTTCATGGAAAAATAACAAAATATGTATCTAAGGTCAGTACTACAAACCTATGCTGGATGGAAGTCTGTGATTTCAGGGTCAAATCAGGAGAGGTGGCTTCTGTATACATGTGTGCCATCATTAGCTTCTTCTGGATGTTTTGCTTGATGGTTAGTTCTTCAATATGTGTGGTGGACTTTGTGAATTCAATACAAATACTCAATAACTTCTTTAATTCCACTGAAATACTCAACACATCAATATCTATGTCAACAAATGAAGAGAAAAAAGACATGGATAATTATCTCCAAGCTAGAGAAATTAAAATGTTTCTCATGAAGCAAAATTAAAGGTTAAGTACCCTAAAAGTAAATGTTAAAGAATTAATTTCATATTCATTTATTTTTTAAGAGTCACTTGTTGATTTTTATTTTTTTGATTTTTTTATTAAATCATAACAGTGTACATTGATGCATTTATGGGGTTCATTGTACTGATTTTATATACCATGTGAAATGCTTACATTGAACTGATTAACACATCCTTCAAAATTACATTCTTTACTTAATTGTTTTGAAATGTTCCATTGTATCATGCACATTGGGTGAGGTCTCCTCAAATACCATCCCTGTTCCATCCTCCCTCCTACTGCATCTGCCCTACCCCACCCCCCACTCTCCTCTTCCCTTCTACTTTCTGGACTATAGTTATGTTTTACCATTCATATGAATGTCTAGGCAATTATATATTGATATCTTAGTAATATTGAGTACATTGGATACTTTTTCTCCATTCTTGAGATACCTTACTAAGACGAATATGTTCCAGTGCCATCCAGGTAAATATAGAAGATGTAAAGTCTCCATCTTTTATATGGCTGCATAGTATTCCATGGGGCAAACATTCCACAATTTATTAATACATTCATAAGTCAATGGGCACTTGGGCTGTCTACCTATGTTCGCAATTATGAATTGGGCTACAATAAACATTCTGGTATAAATGTTGTTGATGGAAACTGATTTTTCATCATCTGGGTATATACCTAGTAGATGAATTTCAGGATCAAATGGTAGGTCTAATTTTAGTTCCCCGAGTATACTCCAAACTACTTTCCAAAAAGATTAGGTCACTAACCAAACTTAGTCATGAAGTTAGGTTGAAAGTCAGTACTTTGTAAACAGAACTGTGGCATTTTAACTTATAATTTTCATTTGTAGTACATTTTCAACCCTGCATTTAATACAGAGATTCAACATAGCCATTCATTGTATAAAAAGTGGAGAAATACAGAGACTATATATTCAGAGTTGTAGTTGACTTGTATGAAAGGTTCACAGAGCTCCAATTAAAAATAATCTTAAAAGACACACTGGTCAAGGAATGGGGAGACAATAATGAAAAAGAACATGAAAATAATTTGGGTGAGAAAATGCTCTAAAGCCATGTAGAGAGTGCATAAAGAAAGCAAAAACAGGAGGAGAAAGTAATGTGGGGACATCCAGAAAGCAGAAGCTAGTTATGTTCCCTATTTAAGATGCGGGCCCACAGCACCATCTTCAGAGAACCTGGAGACCAAGGCTCAGGGTCGCCCACCTCCCCCCAGTCCAGCAGCATCTTCAACATCCACAATGGCCTTGCCCTTCTCTGTCCT